GAGGAAGGTGGCAAAAACATGACAGTACAAAGGGCACCTGGTTCATTACCAGGGGGAGTGAAGGCCAGTTAGATGCCTAAATTTTGCCTACTTATGTAGTTAATACTCACTTGTCCCACAACTCTGTAATAAATAAATTAATTTAAAAATAAATCTCAAGAACTCAAAAACAAAAATCTCCCATCAAAGGAAAGCTTGGGACTAGACAGACTCACGGCCTAATTCTACCAAATGTACAAAGAGGAACTAATACCAATTCTCCTGAATTTGTTCCAAAAACCATGAAGAAAAGAGTTCTCCCTAACTCATTCTATGAGATCAGTATACCAAAATCAGACAAGAACACACACACACACACACACACACACACACACTACAGACCAATATTCTGATGAACAGAGATGAAAAATTCTCACTGATAATTATCATCCTGATAATACACCATTACATACAAACGGCCAACAGGCATATGAAAAAATTCTCAGTATCACACATTTAATACAATCCCTATCAAAATACCAATATCATGCACCATCAGAGAAATGCAAATTAAAACCACATTGATATACTATCTTATACCAGTCAGAATGGCTATTATTAAAAAAGACAAAATAAAAAAACAAAAATGAATGTTGGTGAGGATGTGGAGAAAAGAGAACGTCTGTACACTGTTGGTGGGAATGCAAATTAGTACAACCTCTATGGAAAACAGTATGGAGATTTCTCAGAAGACTAAAACTAGAACTAGCAATTGATCCAGCAATACCACTACTGGATATCTACCCAAAGGAAATTATATCAAAAAGATATCTGCACCTATATGTCTATCACAGCACTAGTCACAACAGCAAAGATAGAAAATCAACCTAAGTGTCCACCAAGGGATTATTAGATAAAGAAAATGTGGTACGAATACACAATGGAATACTATTCAGTCATAAAAAAGGATGAAATCTTTTCATGTATCTGTTGGCTGCTTATATGTCTTCTTTTGAGAAGTACCTATTCAAATCTTTTGCCCGCTTTTTTTTTTTTTTTTTTTTGAGTTAGAGTCTCACTCTGTTACCCAGACTGGAGTACAGTGGCACGCTCACAGCCACGGCAGCCTCAACCTGCTGGGCTCAGGTGATCCTTCCACCTCAGCCTTCCATGAAGCTGGAATTACAGGCACATGCCACCACATCCAGCTAATTTTTTTATTTATTGTAAAGATGAGGTCTCACTAAGTTGCCCAGGCTTGTCTTGAACCTGTGGGCTCAGACAATCCTCTCACCTCAGTCTCGCAAAGTTCTAGGATTATAGGCATGAGCCACCATGCCCGGCCTTGCCCACTTTTTATTAGGGCTGTTTGTTTTTTCTTTTCAGTGCGTTTGAGTTTGTCGATCCTGAAGCAAAAAACGAAACCAACTGTGCTGCCCATCAAAAGTAGACTGGTTAAAAAAAAACGTGGTACATATACATGATGAACTATTACACAGTCATAAAGAAGGACAAAATTCTGAACTTTGCAGCAACTTGGATGGATTTAGAGTCTATAATACTTAGTGTTCTATCACAGAAACAAAGAACCGAGCACCACACGTTCTCACTCATAAGCAGACCCTGAACAATCATGATACTCTAAGAAAAGGATTGGGAAACTGCCAGGGAGGAAGGGATATACTTCATCAATAAGGATACCTGATCTCAGACCAGGTGAAGTGGGGAACAAAGAGAGGCCCAAACTTTACCTGTACAATGACTGTTTGTATACCTAATCCTGAGTTGTACCCCACAATCTTTAAAGTTAAAATTAAAAAAAGAAAAAAAAACACTCAGCTATCTTCAGGGACCAAATAATTTATAAAGATATTGAATATAATTAGGATTTTTTTTAAAAAGAATGAAATCATGTCTTCTGTAGCAACATGTAAGTGAAACAACTCAGTAAAGTCAAAAAGGCAAATACTACATGTTCTCACTTATAAGTGGGAACTAAATAATGCTGTACACATGGATGTGGAATGATAGACTATAGAGATTCTCAAAGGTAGGGGATAGGAGTGGGTATAATATGTGATTTAAGTGACAGATATCCTAAAAGCCTAGACGTCACCACTATGCGATGTATCCATGTAACAAAATTACTCTTGCATCCCATAAATTTATACAAATAACAAAATAAAATAAATTTTTCTCAAATTCCTGACCTCAAGCTATTCTCCTGCCTTGGCCTCCAAAAGCCCTGGGATTACAGGTGTGGGCCAACTTGCCTTGCCTTAACAGAAAGTAAATTTTTCTATTATCTTATGAGTTTCCTTTATTGTTTTATTTCACTATTAGTAATCTTAAATTTAATATCCTTTGGTCCCCTACCTGCTGAATCTTCCACCCTTCATATAACTATTTCTTCCAATTTAAAGTCCTGTTACTGGAATTCCATGTGTGACACAACAGTTTGAGTTGCTTGAGTTTGAAATCAACCTAGGTTTGTAAAATACTGTCACTTCCTTTTCACCTTCCCAATTGTTTACGTTATTCAAATACCTGGAATCTTATTTTATGGTAACCCAGAAGACAGAGAGAGTAGAAGTTTGAGTTTCAGGAATAAAGATTTTTCAAAAATGCAGAAAATGTAAGTAGCTGGGGCCTGTTCCTTCCCAGTACCTTAGGTTTGATTGAGGCAAGGCCCCTGTGGTTAGAGAAGTGAAGACCAAGGACCAACAGACTTTGTGAGGCTTTCGATGCAAGCTTAGCTGTTGCAGAGCGCAGAGACCCAGTACAGACAAGGATACCCTCCTGCCCAGTCCTGCATGGAATACAGTCATGCTCTGTCTCCCCGAGGACAAAAGACCGAGAGTTGACATCTAGGATACAGACACTGGAAACACAGTTGTGGGCAGTGGAACATGGTGTAACTTTACCAAGTAGATTTTCAGGCAAGTGGGAGTTGGACCAGGTGGGAAGAAGAAAGAACAGGACGTATTTCCAGTGGTGATAGCAGTTAACAGACATGTTGTTGTGGGTGTCATTTAAAGATCTGTATGAGGAATTCCTGGTAACTACTACCAGAATCTAAAGAAATACCTTGTGCAAGGTCAGCTTGACTAATTGGGCCAGCAAACAACCATAGTTTGATCATTAAAAATAAATGTAATATAAATATTGAATCCTAATTGATGACATAATTCTCAAGTGCATAGACGCAAAGGGTACTAAAGCTGATGTCTGCAACTCATCTTGAATTGAACCACAAAATACATTCCCCACCCCCCCCCTTACTCTGGCCAGCCTGTTAGCTTTTCCTTCAACTTAAGACCATTTCTGTCTCCTGAGCTTCTTCTATACGTGTGGGTTGGAGTGTTTCTAATGTTATTCAGCACTATATGTCATACTTGTCAGTTATGGATGTCATCCTAGTCCCAAAAGAGCTTTTTCAGGATACCGAGTGATCAAAATCGCTTATGTGTATCTTCTGAAAACATGTAGTGACCATCTATTTTAGGAAGTCTTGCAAACATAATCCCATTTTGTTGTTTTCAGCCAGTTCCCCATATGTTGAACAGAATAGAGCTCATGGGCAGTTTTTACTGCCTGCTAGATTTTTTTGAGTGAGCCTAACCTGTGGTTGTATTTCACTAACAGAACATGACAAGGTCAAGGTCAGGGATCAGGCTGATTGGTGATCCGCATTTGTACATGTGCAGTAGAAGAGGAGGCTGAGATGAGCAGGACACATAAGCAGAAGACAGGGATCCCCTGAACCACCTTCTCACTTTCTCAGCTTCCATCTCTACCCAGGTTTTGTGAGTCTGAGACCAGGAGACAGTCCTGTTACTCAGGTCTCTTCCATTTAGCCACTGGAATTCCCAGAGAGAAGAGTACCATGGGTATAATCATGGGCTACTGAGCGTAAGTGAAGAAGTGAAGGAAGGAAAACTGGATCAATTACATTTGAAAGCGAGCCTCTCAGCAGCCCATACTGTCCTTGAACTACACTGTGTAAAGACATTGGTCTGTGAGGTATATCATATATCAAAGGCTTTCAAGAAATCTCTTTTCTGGTGATTGTGAGTCCTGACATTCTGTGGCAGAAAGAAAACTTGGTCAAATTCAATTTTTAAAATGACAAAACCAGCCAGGCATGGTGGCTCAAGCCAGTTATCCCACCACTTTAGGAGGCCAAGGTGAGAGGACTACCGGAGCCCAGGGGTTCAAGACCAGCCTGGGCAACTTGGTGAGCCTTCATCTCCAGAACAGATGAAAAAATTAGTTGGGCGTGGTAATGCACCTGTAGTTTCAGCTACTTGGAGGGCTGAGGTAGAAGGAGTGCCTGAGCCCAGTGGGTCAATGCTGGGGTGGCTGTGAGCATGCCACTGCATTCCAGCCTAGGCCACAGAGTAAGACTCTGATTTTAAAAACAACAACAACAAAAATGACAAAACCGAATGTTAATAAAGTTACATGACTTACTTGAAGTCACACAGGGTATGTTTTGAGCATTGCTAATAAAAGTGATCACAATTAAAAAAAAGAAATGAACCACAAAATAAAGTGGGCTGATGGATGAATAAATTAATGGATAGGTTATAGGTATGTAACAAAGTTAAAAACAGCAAAATATTAGCCATTACAGAATCTTAAGTACTGAGTATAAGGAATTCACTATACATTATTTTTTAACATCTCTATAAGATGGAAGTATTTCACTGAAAAAATTCGCAAAAACAAAACGTAAGCTTGTTTTATAATCATAGACCAGTGAGGTAGGCTACATCTGGATTGCACAGGATTTAATTTCAGATTTTTTTGTCCCTTGACCTGGGAGTCAATGTGTGTTTCTCAGGCTGGTTTTCTTTTCTTCCTTCTTCTTCTTTCTGGAGCTAAAAGTTCTGGTCCTCTTTTCTGCCTTGTACTATAATATATCCACTGAAACATTGAATATGCTATAAATAATGAACATCCAGAAGCCCGCCCCTACAGAGTAGGTGGTTCTCAGGATTTTCCAAGTTTGGAGATGGTTAGGGCAACTTGACATGGGTGAGAAACTTTTTCAAGGCCTCCTTTACCTCCTTGTTCCTCAGACTGTAGATGAGGGGATTCAACGTGGGGATCACCACTGTGTAGAACACAGACACCACCCTATCCTCCTCTGAGGACTGGCCGGAGTTATCTCTCAGGTACACGAAGACGAGGGTGCCAAAGAAGAGGGACACGGCAGTAAGGTGGGAGGCACAGGTGGAGAAGGTCTTGACTCGGCCTCCAGCTGAAGGAATCTTCAGAATGGCCATGATGGACAAGCAGGACACCAAGATGACCACCATACAGGCCGGGATGACAAAAATGGCGAACACAATAATCACCACTTCCTGGGTGTAGCTGTCCCCACAGGTCAGCCTTAAAAGAGGAGGGAGGTCACAAAAAATGAAGTCAACCTCATTCGTTCTACAGAAGGAGAGAGTGAAGGCTGAGACCGTTCGCACCAACGCACTGAAGAGACCAGCAACATAAGCCCCAGCCACAAAACCCACACGAGCCTTTTGGGTCATGATGGTGATGTAAATCAGGGGCTGGCACACGGCCACATAGCGGTCATAGGCCATAAGGGCCAGGAGGTAGCAGTCGATGGAACCAAAAAAGGTAAACAGGAAGAACTGAGCAGCACAGCGTGGAGAGGATAAAGTTGCCCCATGCTCCAACAGCATGGCCAGCATCTGGGGGACAGTGACAGATGAGTAGCAGATGTCCATAAAAGAGAGATGACTCAGGAGGAAGTACATCGGAGGGTGGAGCCGGCTATCCATACAGATCAGAATAATCATCCCCAAGTTTCCCGATAAGGTGATGAGATAGATAAATAAAAACAGGAGGAAGAGAGGGAGTGCCCATTCAGGATATTCTGTGAATGCAGTAAGGAGGAACTCAGTCACTAAAGTAAGGTTCGTCTCTGCCATGAAGCCAGTGGTACCTAAGAGGACAAGAATGAGAAGCAAGTTAGGAAGCTGCAAATAAGATTTACCTGAATTTCTAGTTTACATTTACTGAATATATACTATGGACAAAATACTCCAGGTGCTATGTGGAGCTTCGGAAATGACAGATCTTAGCTCCTGCCGTCAAGGGAGTTGGGTGACACAGAGTCATCTTCATATGTCAAGAAAACAGATACAGATGGGGTGGCACACGGCTGTAATCCCAACACTGGGAGGCTGAGGCAGAAGAAAAGCTTGAGCCCAGGAGTTTAAGAGCCCTGGGCAAGATACCAAGACCTCACTTCTTCAGAAAATACAAAGACCAGCCAGATGTTGTGACATGGACCTGTAGTTTCAGGTACTCAGGAGGCTGAGGTAAAAGGATCATCTAAGACCAGGAGGTAGAGGCTGAGGTGAGCCTGAATTGCACCACTGCGCTCCAGCCTGGGCAACAGAGTGAGACCCCAACCCCCTAAAAGAAAAAAGATACAGGTAAATATTTTCAGAATAGAAGTATATATGCTTGGCCAGGTGCAGTGGCTCACGCCTATAATACCAGCACTTTGGGCTGATGTAAGAGGATTGCCTGAGCTCACGGGTTCCAGGCCAGCCTGGACAATTTGGCGAGACCTCATCTTTACAATAAATTTAAAAAATAGCCAGCTGTGATGGCACATACCTGTGGCTCCAGCTACTTGGAAGACTGAGGCGGAAGGATCACCTAAGCCAAGCAGGTCGTGGCTGCGATGGCCGTGAGCATGCCATTGCACTCCAGCCTGGGCGACAGAGTGAGATTCTGACTCAAAAAAAAAAGAAGTACTTATGCTCCCACCTCTATTGTTAAGTAGCTGTGTGAACCCTGGAAGTCATGCAACCACTCAATCAAAACTTCCCTACAGCCTCACTAGGCTTTGGTACATGGGCTCTTGCCTACCATGGGACTGTCCATCTCAGGATTCCATTCCTTTTTCTTTATGACCACAGCTCCTTCATGGTTCCACACCCTCTTCATCTCTTGCCTGGATTAAAACAATAGCTGTGGAACTGCCCTCCCTGTCCTTGTTCTTGCTTCTTGCCAATTCTTGCTCCTCACTGTAGCCAGAGTGACAATTCTAAGATTTTAATCTGATCAGGGCAAGATTCCCCTGTTAAAAATTCTGATTCCCCTGTTTAAAATTCTGCCATGGTACCCATCATAGATAGGATATTTTGGGGGGATGAAGGGGATACATGAAATAATTAAATAAATTTGTAAAGATTAAATCAGTGTAATTAGAATAGTCATCAACTTAAATATTTGTCCTTTTTATGCTAGAAACATTTGAGTCATTCTCTTCTAGCTATTTTGAAATAGACAAGAGATTAGTGTGAATTAGGACAAAATATTATTTTGTCTCCTTGACATGTTGGGAATGCCCTCAGTGACATCTCCCCTGCTTACTACTTCATGCCCCTTTCTGGCTTCTCAGTCCTCATACCCACAGCCACACTCACCCTCTCACCCTTCTCTCCAGCCATTCTGAATTATTGGCAGCTTCTCTAACCCTCCCATGTTCTGTCCCATCTCTGCGCTTTCAGCAGGACCTCCCTTCTGTCTGGAACGCCTTCTCTTTCCCAGCCCCAAGGTCCCTGAAGCTCCTACCCTACCTTCAAACCCCAGCTCAGATCACATTTCCTACAGGAAGTCTCTTTTGAGACTGACTTCCCCAGTGAGAGGACATAACCTTGGGGTGCAGCACATAGGAAAGGCTTAATATTCTCTTATGGAATAAAGCTACCAAATGAGATGTGAAACATCTTGCAGAGAGAAGGGGACTGCACACATGTTTACACTGATTATTTTCGTGAAAGTGTTTAAAAACAGACAATGCCTTGAAGTCTAAGAACTCACTAAAATCACAAAGGTTATCCACCATTCTTGGGTTTACACTTCTATCTACAACCTGACAATATGCTTACTTAACAGATAGCTGATGTCTTAATTAAAGCCACATAGTTTACCAAAAATAGATTTTATAAGAACTGAAATTGTCTTTAATAAGAAAGACAGATAAACACTACTTTCTGTGATTTATATATTAACTCATTTAATCCTCACAACCACTTTATGAGGTAGAAACTTTTCTTATCTTTATTTTACAGATGAGGAAACTGAGACAGAGAGAGTCGAAGTTACATGCCAAGATTTGTGCAGCTGGTATGTGATGGAACTGTCATTAGCAACAAAACTGCACAGAGAGGCTTTATTTACCTTATAACAAGGTATTACATGCATCGCACAGCTATTCCAATAGCCCCTTCTCAGGAAGTGCCAGCCCATAAATAAACAAACATAAATACCAACATTGCAGTCTTTTAATAGCCAAAGGCTGAGAGAGGCTTTTGAGCTAACAGATAGAAAGTAATTTGGCAGAGTCGCAATGCAGCGAGATACAGAAGACATTTGAACATCTTAAAGCATAAGACTTTGGCAGCTAGATCAGTGTTGGACTCACCTACTGGAGAAAAATGATAAAGGAAATTTGATCTGATGATCAGAATTAGGCATGAACCAAGAGAATTAGGTCAGTTTTCCCCACCTAAAGTCCACGTCATCTTTACCTGGAAGTCCTCTTCTCTCTTTTATCTGTGATTTCCCTTAGCCTCTAAAAGGCTGCTTCTCTCCCACTGTTTGAAGTAAATCTAAGGGTGCCGGAGAGAAAGCCCCATGCTGGGCATCAAGCGGTCTGAGTGGTTCTTGTTGTGACGCTGAACAAGTCTCTTGGAGCTGCAGTGTCCTTTTTACACACATACAAACACACACACACAAACAAAGGATGAATCAATGTGGGGACAATAATGCCTTAGTTACCTGAAAGTCAGTTCCTGGGCACTACCATCCTTAAGATCCTTCTAGCCAGTTCTTTCCTGACAAGGACTTCCTTTTACTCTTCCTGTTTCCATGATCTGCCAAAGCTGATTAAGACGCATTCTTCACCCTGGTTTTTGTACAATTCCAGGCTAACACAGCAGAATTTGGGGAACAATCTCTTTCTATGGGCTCCCAGTTCCAACACAGATCCCTCTGGAGAAGACACTAACAGTGCTAACAAAAGCTCTGAGGTCTCTAATCAATGGCTAAAGTGGTTTCTAAGGAAAGGCAATTATTGCATATGTAGGGTCTTAACAAGACACCTTGTATCGCTCACGTTGGAGCAGAAAAGTCTTTCCTCCCAGTCACAGTTCCCAAAGCCCTACTATCCTACCAAATACCCACCAATCAGGGTTTAAATGGCCTGAATCCCAGTTCTGCATGATCCCTTGAGGAGTTAAGTGCCCCTTGCTTTAATTTCTCCAGTCAGAACAATGTCAGAAATTATGTCCATTGCCATGCTCACCAATGTGGCCATATCCTGGAAGAAGAGTGCTTTGTAGATACAGGGCTTTGATTCACATTATTTAGGCGGGCCAACTGGGCAGCCTTCACAGAGACCTCAACAAGATACATTGTATCTTCTCTTTGCCTTCTGGGAGCCAGGTGTCTCATTAAGTCTCTCTCTCTCTCTCTCTTTTTTTTTTTTAATGCTAATGAAACCGTGGGGAAAACAAAAGGCTGGGATGTAGCCCAGAGGAGAAATTGGCAAGTTCTTCTTGTTGGCATGGTCTTTGCCAGCTCTTTGCATCTTTGACACCATCTTTTTTGTTGTTGTTACTGTTTTTAGTCCTCGATTTGTAGGCATTTTGTTGCCATTGAATTTCAACATGTCTCAATTCAAAAAGGAAATAATAAAGATGAGGAAGAACAGAATAATTGTTTTCTTTGACAACTGTAAGAACCAAGAGGAAATAGTTCACTGCTTCATCACTGTTCTAGGAGTTCTAAATGAAGAGCAAAACGTAGGGAAGGAAAGAAAGAAAAACACAATGTCTGTCTATAAGAAATATGCAACCTAACAGGTGAGATGATTATCCATCTTACAAGATAACCACCACTAAACTGTTAAACAAGCAGTAGGCAAGGTGCCATGGGGATTCAGTGTAGGGTAAGAATACACACAGATCAGGGAGGGCTTTCCAGAGGAGGTGGGCTTTGACAATCAGTTTGGACAAGGGAAGGAATGGGAAAATCACGGGCAAAACTCTTCAGGAAAGGGAATCAGCATGACCAAATGCATAGGGGCAGGAGAGCCCAGAAACCACACCAGGGTCAATGAGTGGCACTTCTGTGGCAGCACAGGATGGTACTGGGCAAGCCAAGCCCAGGATGAGGGGGAGGTAAGTAAGGTACTGGCTCAAGCACATAAGCTAAGGTCATACCAAAAACCTCAGCAAACAAGTTAAATCACATGCCCAAAAAACTATGATGAATAAAACATCAGAATTTTAAAGAAAAGCAGCATTGTGTCAGTGGATTTCCTTTTGCCACCGTCCCCAGTATGACTCAACACAGAACTGATAAGCTTGGGGGGAAAAGGTCACCATCAAGGGCCTTTGGGGGAATATGCATAAGAAGTAGCTCTCAGTCATCTAGGGCCAACCCATTTCTTTCAGAAAGGTTAACTGAATAAGATGGAATAAAATTTTCAAAACCCAGAATTTATCAAAAATTGCATATTTATTTTGTTTGAACTTCAATCACCTTCAAAGACACCAATCAAGATGCTTTCTCCACTGCTGAAAACGGTTTTTGAACTCTATTTTGATGCCTTCTAGTGCTTCTGTCATTTTTTTTTCAACTCTTCCACGTCTGCAAAACATTTACCTATGAGGCATTTTTTCAAAGGGAAACTTTTTTAAAAGTCACTCGGGACGAAATCTGGTGACTAGAGAGGGTGGGACACAGGGGTCACGCCACTTATGATCGAAAACTACTGAATACATTGTGGTATAGGCAGGTGCATTGTCATGGTGTAAGCTACATAACCTGTTTGCCACAACATGGGACTTTTCTTCTGCAATGGAAGCTCTCACAACAACATTAGCTGGTACACTAATGCCAACTG